AGGGGAGGGGGCGGTGCCCCGGAGGGGAGGGGCGGTGCCCCGGAGGGGATGGGCGGTGCCCCGGAGGGGAGGGGGCGGTGCCCCGGAGGGGAGGGACGGTGCCCCGGAGGGGAGGGGGCGGTGCCCCGGTGGGGATGGGCGGTGCCCCGGAGGGGAGGGGGCGGTGCCCTGCAGGGGATGGGCGGTGCCCGAGGGGGCAGAGACTGGAGGAGGATCACTGGTCCTTTGGATCAGGCGCCAGACTGTTCCTCGGCTTTTGCTCGGGGGCCTTGTGACCGCAGCGCTCCTGTGGGGTCAGGGGCGTAGTGATAAGGCAGGGTGCCCCATGGCTGAGATCTGACCTGTCGTGTTAGGAGACACTGAACTGCCGGGGCAAGTAAGCCCCACACCGAATGGCTCAAACCTGACCGAAATATGTTCTTCAGTCCAAGTGGTGACTTCCCACCAGGGGCTCCTCCATCCCCTAGGGACTTGTGGCGACAGTGTGAAGGGATCCACGGCCAGGCAGGCACACACGACTTCATTGGCGGGAACTAGTCACGTGGCCAAAGCTGGGCGAGGGCGCCGGGGATGGTTGGGACAGCTGGCCAGCAATGGGCATGCTCCTCTGTCCCCCTAGAAGATGCTGGGGTGATTTTGTCTGACAACCGGATAACTCTGATACATGCAAGTACAGTCATGGCCCGTATAACGTCTGTTTGAGAAATGTCCCACCACATGTACCTATGTGGTCCTTTAAATTGTTTTTTTTTAAGGAAAAGCAGCTCTCCTTTTGTTTATTATTTCCTCTAATGGTTTTAAAGACCCCAAATCCCCCAAGAGTGAACGAGCAACAGGGCTCCAGGGCGCACCCCAATCTTGGAAGCACTCCTCCTCCCTCACCTCCTCCTCCTGCCCCTCCTAGCTTCATTCACACGCCCAGCAGCCTCCCAGCCTGCTCACTCGTGGGGCAGGACAGAGCCTGCCACAGCTCCTCAGCTCCTGCGGCATTTGCTGGTGGGGGCGCTGGCCCGGCTTGGGGCGCTGGCAGCCTCCCAGCTCCTGGCAGCAGCAGAGGCTGCACCAACAGGGCAGCGGCACCCAGGGCCGCCACCACCAGCTGCCGGCTGTGCTTCTGGCACCCGCATACCCGTTCACCCGCTCACCGCCCGGTCCCGGAGGCCACCTCTCCTCCACCCTGTATGTCTCCCACGCTGTACCTGGACGGGCGCAAGGTCCGGATCCAGCAGCCTCCATAGCCCCCGCCCGGCCCGCAGCTGCACACCTGGCAAGGCTGGCCTCTTGCAGTGGATACAGCTCGGGGGTTTGTCCCGCGGGCTCCCATAAAGTTTTAATATAATAGGCTTTACAGGGGTTGGTTCGGAACTACGGATTGTACGGGGACTGCTTGTATATATACAGTATGTTCGCACAACGTCTAAATCGCATAACGTCCTATTTCACTGAACATATGGTGAACATTAAGCAACAGCATGACTGTATATGTTTTGACGATGGTCTACAGTAAATATATATTTCACACTGTGACCCAGACACACACACCTCTATATCAGAAATAGTCTCGTGAAACAGACACTGTGTGTAGGGTAACTATGCCCTGGTTTGCCTGGGAGGTCCCAGTTTTATGCCCATTGTCTTGACATCCTGTGGCATTTGTCCTCAATTAAGACGTCCTGGTTTAGATGATAAATTATATAACCACCCTAACTTTGGGTAATATTTTGTCTACTATATTTACTTTATTAAAAACCAATTTATCCACAACCCAATAAATGGATTTCATGACCCACTGGAGGGCTGAGGCCTGCGGTTTGAAAAACCTTGTTTAGTCCCCTCCACCTCCACTGGCCTGTCAACGTGCTCTCGTGAGGCAGAATGTTCTCCTGGGTGTCCAGACATGCCTACCCTCCAATCTTTTTACCAGTTCTCATGCCAACCACCCCTCCCACGGCTCTCTCTACTTCTCTGCAGAGTTCGATAATTCATTGCAGTGGCCACACAGAACTCACAGACAATACTCAAAATGATGGAGTTTCTTAGGGAAGTAACAGGTTACAATCCAGGTTTGGGAACACTCGGGATACAGTTCTTCCCTCGGGACAGCCTCTTCCAGCTGTGCTCGAAGGCATTCCTCTCTCTGGCCTTTGGCCTCTGCCCTGCAAGCATTACAAAGCTCCTTTAGCTCTGCCGATAAGTGCTCCAAGGTATGCCACTCCGCCACTAAGCCTCGGCCCGAAGGTGTTCAGCTCTAGCTCTGTGGGTTGGCAAACCTAGCTCCACCGAGTGCCTAGAGGCACCCTACTCAGCCAGCAGGCCTCTTGCCCAAAGGCACTCAGCTTTCTTGATCCGAGGGCTCCTAACCCACCGTGCAGTCTCCTGCCTCTCCTGCTGCTAATTCTCTGCCTCTGCATCTTCCTGTGTTCAGTCTTAAAACTCTCTCTCTCAGTCTCCTGGTTCCAGGAGCTTCTCAGCACAGGGATCCCAGGTCCAAAGGATGTGCTCCATTCTTGGCTCTTCTTTCTTGGTGGTGGTGAGATCCTCTCCTCCCACCTCTGGGATGGCACATTTTAAGCCTAGTGGGATGACAAAATTGACTCATCCCCTCATTAGGGTTCCATACACCTTATTTGAGTAGTCCCACTCAATCGTTTGTGTGAGTCACAAAGACTATGGCAGAAGGGCCATGTTATGCAATCCATTGCACCGTAGGTATATGGCCTTTCTAGCAGGGCTGAACGGCCAGAATGTAAAACTGTGATCTTGGGACCCCCCTCCTCATTCCTAAGAATGCTCTGGAGCACTTTGTTATCCTGCTTCCTTCTCCCTCCCCAAGTTGTCTTCTTGATGGGTGAGAGAGCCAAACATATTCCAATCCCAGCCCTGCTCCACCCCCAGTTTCTTCACACTATGGATTTATTTATCTTGGGTGGGTGTATTGGTTTCAAAATACCAAAAAAATACCAAAGAGAAGATGGCTTTAAAAAACAGAAATTTATTGTCTCACAGTTCTGGAGGCTAGGAGTGCGGGATCAGGGTGTCGGCTGTGTTGATTCCTTCTGAAGCTCTGAGGCAGGATCCGTTCTACGCTTCCCTCCCAGCTTCTGGTGACAGCTGGCGATTCTTGGCTTATAGACACATTGTCACATGGCTGTCCTTCCCCGTCTGTCCCTTCTTCTCTTCGATAAGGACGCCATTGATATCGGATTGAGACCTGCCCTACTCCCATATGACCTCATGTTAAGTGATAACATCATCAAAGAACCTATTTCCAAGCAAAGTAACCATCTTAGTCATCTAGTGCTGCTGTAACAGAAATACCACAAGTGGGTGGCTTTAATGAACAGAAATTTATTCTCTTCACAGTCCAGTAGGCTACAAGTCCAAATTCAGGGTGTCAGCTCCAGGGGAAGGCTTTCTCTCTCTGTCGGCTCTAGAGGAAGGTCCTTGTGATGCATCAGTCTTCCCTTGGTCTGGGAGCTTCTCTGCCCAGGAACCTCAGGTCCAAAGGACTGGCTCTGCTCCCGGCACTGCTTTCTTGGTGGTGTGAGGTTCCCTCACTTCTCTCTTTTATATTTCAAAAGAGATTGGATTAAGACACTATCCAATCTTGTAGACCTCATCAGTATAACATCATCATAGTGATGGAGTTTGCAGCACGTAAGGAAATCACATATAACCTCATCAGAGTGGCAGAGTTTACAACACATAAGGAAATCACATCAGATTAGACAATCATACGATACTGGGAATCATGACCCAGTCAAGCCGACAGACATTTTTGGGGGACACAATTCAATCCATGACAGTAACCATCTTAGTCATCTAGTGCTGCTGTAACAGAAATACCACAAGTGGGTGGCTTTAATGAACAGAAATTTACTTCTCACAGTTGAGGAGGCTAAAAGTCCGGATTCAGGGTACTGGCTCTGGGGAACCCTTTCTTTCTCTGTTGGCTCTGAGGGAAGGTCCTTGTCTCATTTCAACTTCTGTTCCTCAGTTCCTTGGTGATCTTCATGTGGTCTGGCATCCATCTTCCCTCATCTGTGCTTCCTTGCTTCTGTGCCTGATATGCTCTTTACATATCTCAAAAGTGAGTGATTTAAGACACATCCTACAAGGATATGACCTCTCTAACATAACAAAGGAAACCCCATTCCCAAACAGGATTATAGCCAGAAGTATAACCCATTGCCATTGAGTCAGTTTTGACTCATAGCAACCCTACAGGACAGAGTAGAGTTGCCCCCATAGGGTTTCCAAGGAGCAGCTGGTGGATTTGAACTGCTGACCTTTTTGGTTAGTAGCCAAGCTCTTAACCACTACGGCACCAGGGCTCCTCCACAAGTATAGGGGTTAGGATTTACAACACATATTTTTGGGGCCACAGTTCAATCCATAACAGTCACATGCAGAAGTACAGGAGTTAGGACTTCAACATATCTTTTGGGGGACACAGTTCAGTCCATAACAGTGGGCCAGGACCCCACCTGAGACAGACAAGAAAGCAAAGGAATTGCTCCAGCTCACAGGACTGTCTGATTTCAAAAGCATCAAGCGCCCCTTTCCAAATGTGGCACTGTCTCCTGAACCCTCCTTTCCTCTTTCCTGCTCACCAGCTGATCTCACGTGTCTGACTGGGGCTGAGAGTCCGGTTCTGGGTTGTGACCTGTACGCCCCAGAAGGCAGACTTGGAGGGAGGAGAGCCCGGGGGGCCAGGGCAGGGGTGACACAGTTCTGGGAAGGAAACTTCTGGCAGAGATGACCCAGCTGCTCTGAGAAGTGACAAGGGGGGACTTTTGGAGGTTTTAAGGATGGCGGTGAGGGGAGGAAGTCGCTAACAGCCCCCATGATTCCTATCTCCATTTCTCTCACAGGATATGAATCATCGATTTGACAGGTATGTGGTCACTTGTGCTTCCCTGGAGGCAGTGGTGGGGGCATGGGAGGGCCCCTTGTCGAGCCAGAGGGGGCAATGAGAACTGTGTTCCCTGGAGGATAAAGAGTCTGAAGACACAGTACCCAGAGACCCTCCCCACCAAGCTGAAGACAGTGTGCAGGGTTCCTGGGCAGATAGAGGTGCTCAAGTGTTTCCAAGGTAAGTGGGGACCCAGGGGCAGTATTGGACAAGACCCTGCCTTGCCCCCCAGCCTCAGGAGCTAACCACCATGCAGGGCCACAGCTCCCAATGAGTAGAACTTGTCCCAGGTCTCAGACTTCACTGTCAGGAAGTGTTTGTATTCTGTTCTCATTGCTGCCTTCTGTATAAGATGGCTTTACTGAGGTCCACCTCATGGGGGAGGCTCTTTCCCATTAGTAAGGATGAAGCTTGTGAAGCTGCCCAGATGGTCCCACCCCTTCCCCCATTTCCTTATCAACACCAGTGTCCACAGTTGGGGTAGGGGACTAAGAACCCATAGGCTCAGTTATGCAGGGGCAGAGTAAAATCATCTGTGGAGCAGCTGGGCCTCTGACCTTGGCTTTGTCATCGAGCTCCAACCCAGGAGGTTGAGATGGTCCAGACGACACGCTCCCAAAGATAAGGACTCTACTTCCAAGGGAAAGATGATGAATTCTCAGGCCTGACTGCTGGTGTCAGGGCAGGGGAGGCCTCTGGGAGTTCTGGGGACTAGGAGGATCGTAGGATAGAGCCCCATCCCACGTTTTCCTGCCATTTGAACATCTGGCCAGGAGACGACCACCTGCCACTTGCTAGGGCTCTCCCCATCCCGCTCACGAAGGCGTCCTCCCAATTTTAACCCCAAACGGCTCTGCTTTCCCCTGGGCCTGCGCTGCCTGCAGTGGATGTGGTACCCGATGCTGTCACGGCATACCCCTACCTTCTCCTGTATGACAGCCGCCAGAGGTGCTACCTCAATTGCCCGCTGGACAGCATGCTCCGTGGCCAGGACAGGTTCCTCGCCTACCCCTGTGTGCTGGGCCAGACGGCCTTCTCTGCGGGGAGACACTACTGGGAGGTGGGCATGAACCTCACCGGGGACGCGCTGTGGGCTCTGGGTGTGTGCAGAGACAACATCAGCCGGAAGGAGCGGGTCCCCAAGTCCCCCGAGAATGGATTCTGGGTTGTGCAGCTGTCCAAGGGGAAGAAATACGTACCCATGTTCTCGGATGCCACCCCCTTCACGCTGATGGAGCCCCCCAGCCACGTGGGGATCTTCCTGGACTATGAGGCTGGGGATGTTTCCTTCTACAACGTGAATGACGGATCTCACCTGCACACTTACTCCCAGGCCACCTTCTCGGGCCCTCTCCAGCCTTTCTTTTGCCTTGGGGCTCCTAAATCAGGCCAGATGGTGATCTCCACAGTGACCGCATGGGTGAAGGGATAGAGACCCAGGAAGGGAGGGCACCTAAGGATGTCCTCATTTCTGTGTAAGGTGGGGTGGCTTCTGCTTGCCTACAGGGCCCATGGCCAATGCTCATCAAGGATTCTGATGAGTGCCATCAGCTGTTCAGGGCTGTTGTTTACAAAGTCAAAACAGAATCATGATTAAAGCAGTTAAACATTGAAAGACTGTATTTACAGATGCTTAAGAGAACTTTTGAAAGAAATCCCCTAACTTTTATTATATGTACATGTATGTGTTATTAGCTGCCTTTGAGTGGACCCCCACTCACGACAACCCCATGCACAACAGACCAAAACGCTGCCTGGTTCTGCACCATCCCCATGATCAGACCCTTGCGATCCATAGGGTTTTCACTGGCTGACTTTTGGAAGCCGGTTGCCAGGCCTTTCTTCCTAGTCTGTTTTAGTATGGAAGCTCTGCTGGAACCTGTTCAGCACCACCACAACACACAAGCCTCCACTAACAGACAGGTGGTGGCTGAGCATATTTACCAGCTGGGAATGGAACCTGGGTCTCCCACATAGGAGGTGAGACTTCTCCTAGCGAACCACCATTGCCTCAAATATCTATATACCTATATATGTATGTGTATATACAGATAGATACATAGTGATTATTGTTAGGTGCCTCAAGTCAGTTCTGACTTATAGCGGCCCCGTGTACAACAGAACAAAACACCGCCCGGTCCTGCGCCATCCTCACAATCATTGCTATATTTGAGCCTATCATTGCAGCCACTGTGCCAGTCTATCTCATTGAGGGTCTTCCTCTTTTTCGTTGACCCTCTTCTTTACCAAGCATGATGTCCTTCTCCAGGGACTGGTCCCTCCTGATAACATGTCCAAAGTATGTGAGAGAAAGCCTCGCCATCTTTGCTTCTAAGGAACATTCTGGCTGTACCTCTTCCAAGACAGATTTGTTCATTCTTCTGGCAGTCCATGGTATATTCAATATTCTCCAACACCGTAATTCAAAGGTTATCAATTCTTCTGTCTTCCTTATTCATTGTCCAGCTTTTGAGTGCATATGAGGCAGTAGGACAAACTGACGACACGTGGTGGATATATATTTTATATAAGAAGGCCCTATGGAGCAGTTCTCCTCTGACACACATGGGGTCTCCATGAGTCAGAAATCTGCTCCGGCAACAGGTATCCTGTTGCAGTCAAGTTGATCCAGACTCCTGGGGACCCCATGTGTGCAGAGTAAGCTGTGCTCCATAGGCTTTGCTTGGCTGTGACCTTTGGGAAGCAGATCGCCAGGCCTGTCTTCCGAGGCGCCTCAGTGTGGGTTCCAACCGCAAAGCGCTTAACCGGTTTGCGCTACCCAGGAACTCCAACCGGTATAACAGTCTGAACGTAGGAGTCAATGCGCTATTCCCGGACAAGGGGAGTTTCTGTGGGGAGTGGGGGAGGGAGTATTCTGGAACAAACCACCTGCAGAGTCGTTATGGCTGAGAATCTGGGACCTTTGGGTCGTGGGAGAGGGGGCCGGAAACAGGAGACATCGCCTGGGGGCTGGTGGGACAGGAGAAGAGGACCGGCGGGCGAGGAGGCCGGGCGCGGGGACGCGGGGTTCGGCCCTAAGGAGACTCGCGCTGCCCCGCGCTCGCGGTCTTGCTGGGCGCCCTGAGTCAGGCACCTGAGCGCGCGCCGGCGGCCCGACCCCCTCGCTCCAGGGCGGCCGTGACAAGCCGGATCACCGCTGAATGCCGTCCAATTGCGTCCGGCACGCGGGCCGCGTGACAGGCCTCGACCAGTCAGAGGCAAAAGCGGGTGGTTCCAAAAAAAAAAAATCACCCAGCCGCTTCCTGCTTCCGCCGCACACTCCTCTTCCTCCCGGCGCCCCCGGAGCCCGGCGCCCTCCCCGAAGTTGCGGGCGGCGGCGGCCGCTCCCTGCAGCCCCCGACCCGGCGCCCGCCCCGCCGCCCTCCTCCTGCGCCCCTCCTGCACCATGGCCGCCCCGGACCTGTCGGCCAACCTCCAGGAAGAGGCCACCTGCGCCATCTGCCTCGACTACTTCACCGATCCGGTGATGACCGACTGCGGCCACAACTTCTGCCGCGAGTGCATCAGCCGCTGCTGGGGCCAGCCCGAGGGGCCGTACGCGTGCCCCGAGTGCCGGGAGCTGTCCGCGCAGAGGAACCTGCGGCCCAACCGCCCGCTCGCCAAGATGGCCGAGATGGCGAGGCGCCTGCACCCGCCGTCGCCTGTCCCGCAGGGCGTGTGCGCCGCGCACCGCGAGCCGCTGGCCGCTTTCTGCGGCGACGAGCTGCGCCTGCTGTGCGCCGCTTGTGAGCGCTCCCGGGAGCACTGGGCGCACCGTGTGCGGCCGCTGCAGGAGGCGGCCGATGACCTCAAGGTGCGGACCGACGGGGCGCGGGGACGCGAGGGCGCCGGCCTGTAGAGCGTGTGTCTTGGAGCAGGCCACGCGGGGCAGGAAGGTTTCAGGCAGGCACAGGGCAGAGGTGACCGCTGGCTGGGAAGTGGCCCAGACTTCTGAGACCAGAGGAGGATCGTGTGCGGGAGATGAGAGGTAGCCGGCCCTGGGTAGCGTGGGTCCTCCGCGCGAGGACTGGAGGCCCTTTCCGAGTCGTTGGAGGACTGGAACTGGGCAGGGGCATGCGCCGACCTGCAGCTCTGTATCTCTCCTGCCTGTTGGGAACAGGGTGGGTGCGGGCGCTGCTGAGCTCCAGGCCCCAGAGATGGTGGAAGGAGGCAGACGGGTTCTGGAGGGGCCTAGGTCCCTGCTGCTTTGCTGCGTAGGAGACCAGGGGTTGCCTCTGCCTTCAGACGTGTTAGCTAGACCCACATGAGGCCTGAGGTTAAGTTGCACTTGTCTTCTGCTCTCGTAATGCCCCTCCTAAAATCCAAACAAAAGCACGTAGTGAAAACAGCGCCAAACCGCTGGCCTGGGCCAGGGCTGGCGGCTGCCCTGTCTCCTCACTCACCTGCTGAAGGCTTTCGTCCTGGATCCCCGGGTGTTGCATACACGAGTGGTGTTTTTCAAAGTTTTTAACTGCGACATGCATTTTGCATCCTGGCCCAATGTGTATGTATGTTAAAGGGTGCGCCAAATACATAGTTTAACCCATTGTTAAAATGAGTATTCAGCGAAGGTCTTGCTAACTACTATAAAACAATGTTTGGGATGCCATAATGAATCTGTTTCCCTCTCCCCCCATTTTTGGCTGTGAAGGTGGTTTAAGATTGCTGTAAGTAGTCGCGTTATAATATGGAGTCAAACTTGTTCTGAAGGGTGCCGGCACACAAGAATGTCACGCATCCTAAGTGTCAGCCCAGCATGTTTTCACCCTGTCACCAACCTCCCAGGTCAGGGGGCCAGAAGTTACCAGCACCTTCCAGAAGCTCCCCTCGCAGACCTGATGGGGAAAAAAAAAAGGTGAAACAGTCCTTGACCCTTCCCGTGCTATTGCCTGGTTTTTTTTATGGTTGAGGATGTCCTACCCAAGTGCTTTCTCCTGCCACCCACGGGCTGTCACTGGCAGTTTGGAAAACTCTGGGGTAGAGTTCAGACCGAGTTCTGCACGAATTGGCTAGCATTGGGGCCCAGAAGAGCCGCTCTGCTGACGGAGTCTGTCATCTTGGCCAGGCGAGTGCTGGCAATGTCTCTCCTCCAGGAGGGGCCCATTCTCCCTGCCTGACCCTGTCCTGGCATCCCAGACTCAGACGCAGGCTGGTTCCCATCCTGGGAAGGCCAAAAAAAATCCTGGTATGATCCAGTGTGTGTTAGATAAAAAAGGAAACAAAGCCTTGGGCACCCGAATTTCTCTCTGGGGCCGTGCAGGCAGGCAGCACAAAGCGACAGTTTCTGATGTGGGTAGAGCAGGTCAGTCCAGTTAAGAGAAAGTTTATGTTCTGACTCCATGCAGAGTTGTATATGCCCCCACAACTGAAGCGCGTAAGGTCTTTACTCTGGGCCACATTCGGACACTTTATGTTCTATTCCATTTTTAGACATGCTGTTTGTGACCCCCACTTTGGCTAGTCACCCGCAAGAGGTGGTGACTGTCGTGTGAGAAGCACGGCTGAGAGGTGGAGGCATAGAAAGGAGAACTTGGGAGACAGGCGTATGCATGGAAGGGTGGGGGTAAGGTGACCAGACCTGTCACCTGCTGCCAGAGGAGGCTGGCAGCAGGGTGGGGAGGGTGCCCTGAGGCCTTGCATCCAGCCACATGAGAGCTAGGGAGAGCCTGAGCTGAGGCATTGGCAGCAGAGACAAAAAGAAGTGGAATTAGAGAAATCCTTCACATATCTTAAGTGCCTGACAGCAGGCCCGTGTCACCAGGCAGGGGGTGGTGGCCTAAACATTGGTGCTCTGCCGCCAGGCGGCCTGGGTTCACATCCTGGCCCTGCCACTAGCCACCTGTGCCCAGGGCAGAGTTCCAGAACCTCCCTGTGCCTCTTGTCCCCTTCTGGAACATGGGTGGAGATACTAGTTGGACCTCTTGGTGGCAGCTGACAAGGGTCTGGGCACTGCCGGACATGGGAGTGAGCACTAACCCACCTGAATCCCCATGAGCATGGTTCTGTCGCTCGTGTTATAGTGACCCCTGAGACTCTTCCCAGACCCGGGTCTGTTTGTGATTTTCATAGCTGAATAAATGTATCATATCGTGTTGAAACGAAAGGGTCAGACCCTGGCAGAAGACAGTGGCATTATCATCTCAGGCACACATAATTCAGTCTGCTTGTTGGTAGAACTATGAACTCTCACCGTTACCTTGTGCAAATGACTTGAGGGTGCCTACAACTAGGGAAGAATAGGAATAGAAAGTCAGGAGCAAGGACACGATACAAATGTGCACATCCTGTGGTGTATTGTGGTTAAGCTGAGCCACAACGAATGTAGGCCATGTGGAGGTGCTGCGAATTTGGAGAAAAGAAGGCTGTCTGAGGTGAGAGTGGTTCCCGTGGGAAGTCGGGCTTCAGGTGGGCCCTGTAAACTGACAGGTCAGAGGAGCCTCCTTGAACCAAGACAGAAGGCAGACGTGAGCTTGATGCCTTCAGCAGCCAGCTGGGGAGGGGTCACCAGTGCAGAGGGGCGTGTGCCCACCTTGTTGCGCTGGACTGACCTGAGCAAGTAGAGGTAACAGCAGAGGACTCTAGCAGAGGTGGCATAGGGCGTTGGGGTTGAGAACAGGAAAGATGCCCCCTGTGAGAATGTTTGGAAGGAAAACACTGGACTCATTGGTGAATAAGGCAGAGGGGTTGGGATTCTCCAAGCTTCGGTGGTAAGAGGCTGATGCCGCCCGTGACAGGGAGACCAGAGGAGAGCAGGGAGGTGTTGGGACTGGGCACAGGTGGTCATGCTGACGGGAAGGTATCTTGCCTCCCTCATTCTGACAAATTTTAATTTTTCCCCATAACCTTCTGGGCATCGCTTTCCATGAATGGAGTCCCTGCTTGTGGTTTTTCGGATTCAGTTGTGGTTGAACAGACCTGAGTGGTTTTCTCTTGGAAAACACTTGTAGGAACTTGAGCCACTCAGTACCTAGGTAGGAAGTCAGCTGCGAATGCGTGGACTTCGTGCCTCAATGTTGTCCAGGCAGAGCAGTGGCAGGGACAGGGCCTGGCTTGGAGGGGGTGTGTCCTGGTGACACAGTATGACCTACTGTCTGCAGGTTGCTAGGAAGTGGGGGAGGGTCTCAGTGCCGGTTGTCAATCACTGTGTGTTCTCTCCCTGCAGGGGAAGCTGGAGAAGTCACTGGAGCACCTGCGGAAGCAAATGGAAGATGCACTGCTATTCCAGGCCCAGGCGGAGGAGACCTGTGCCTTGTGGCAGGCAGGTGGCTGGGCCTGCCCTGGGCTCCTGAGATCCAGGAGATGGTGGGGCGGCCAGCAGGGGCTGTGGGACAGCTCTTCAGTGGAGGCCCCACTTCGGCACATAGGGGTCCCTGCTCACTGGACCCTCACTGTTCAAACTCCCACCCTTGGGAACCACGTAGATAGTATTTTTCTGAGATGGCATCTGCTCTCAGAACTCTGTTCATAACCCAAAACCCAGGAAACATTGCGGTCCGATAGTACGGTGTCATTGCTGGCCAAACTCTCACTGCTGAGCTTCCTCTGAATACAGGAGCTGAAGAGAGCCAGACAGAGATTTTGATAAAGTGCTGGTGTCTCTTGCTCCATGAATTTTTCTTTTATGGTAGATTTTGCTTTAAAGTCTGTTTTATCTGAGATTAGTATTGCCACCCCTGCTTTTTCTTGGTAGTCGTTTGCTTCATATATTTTTTTCCATCCTTTGATTTTTAATAAATTTATGTCTTTGTGTCTAAGGTGTAGACAGCATATTGATGCATCCTGTTTCTTTATCCATTCTGTCACTCTCTGTCTCTTTATGGGTGCATTTAGGCCATTTACGTTCAGTGTAATTATTGATAGGTGTGAGTTTATTGCTGTCATTTTGTAGTGCGTTTTTTCTGTGATGCTGATGATTTCTTTGTTCCTCTTACTCTCCTGTGCTGAATTCCTTTTATTTGTGGGGTTTTTTTCATTTCGTTAGTTTTTGTAGATTTTGTTTTTCCTGAGACTTTATGTTTTTCTTCTTTATTTTGATGAGTAGGTTTGTTAACTTTCTTCGTGATTACCTTGAAATTTACCCTTATCTTCCAAGGTTTCAACCAGTCTATTATTACTTGGTATCTCCTTGCCTTCCTCTCCATTAGAAAGTTCTATACCTACACCGTTTATTCTCTTTTATTGTTCTGATGTTGTTGTCATTTGCAGGTTAACCTCTCTGGTTCCCTGTTGTAATTCTTTTGATTTTGAATAGTCCTCGAGAGTTCATTTCCTAGGTATCTGGCTGGTACAGTCTTGCGTCCTAGGTTCAGACCGTTGTCTGATGTTATTTGTTCTCAAACCAAAGGATTCCCTTTAATAATTCTTGTAAGTTTGGTTTGGTTTTGACATATTCCCTTAATTTCTGTTTATCTGGAAATGTCCTAATTTCACCATCATATTTGAATGAGAGTATTGCAGGATATATTATTCTTGGTTGGCAGTCTTTTCTTTCAAGGTTTTATGTATGTCATCCCATTGCCTTCTTGCCTGCATGGTTTCTTCGAATAATCCGAGCTTAGTCTTATTGTTTCCCCTCTGTATGTGACTTTCCGTTTTTCTCGAGCTGCTTTCAGGATTCTTTCTTTGTCTTTGGTTTTAGTGAGTGTGATTATGATATGCCTTGGTGGTTTTCTTTTGGGGTCTATCCTATATGGAGTTCCTTGAGCTTCTTGGATGGTCAGCTTTTCATCTTGCATGATATTCAGGAAGTTTTCTGTCAGTAATTCTTCAGTGATCCTCTCTGTTTTTTCCGTTTTCTTCCCTGGTTCTAGAACTCTGATCACTTGAAAATATTTGCTTTTGATTGTATCCCACATAATTCTCAGGGTTTCTTCATTTTTCTTCGTTCTTTTTTCTGATTTTTCCTCAAAGTTGTATTCAAGTGTTTGTCTTCAGTTTTGCTGATCCTGTCTTCCATTGCTTCAAACCTGCTCCTCAGCCCTCCTATGACACTGTCCATTTCTGAAATCTTATTGTTTATCTTTTGGATTTCTAATTATTGTTTCTGTATGATTTCTAGTTGTGAATTTATTTTGTCATTTTGTTCCTATATTATTTTCCTGAATTCTTCCCATTTTTTCGGTCTGTATTTTCCATGAATTTGTCTGCCTTTTCCATGAACTTGTCTATTTTTTCCTCATTTTTGTTTGCTTCAACTCTTGGAAAGCTCTGAATATTAGAGATTTGAATTCCCTATCAGGTCATTCTAGTAACTTTTCTCCTACTGGAAATTCATCTGGTGTTTCATTTTGGACATCTACTGGAACCATCCTGTCCTGTTTTTGTAAATGTTTTGATATTGTCTGCTGTTTTGGGACACTCAGTAGTTATTTTTTTCATTTATTGATTGTAGACTTGTTTGTCTCGTCCTGCTTTTTGGTTTTATTTGGTTATGTCTGAGGAAGCGGGCTGTGCATTCTTTGTTGTTTGCTCGTCTGTGGAACAAACAGTATTTTTCAGCTCCTTGTCCAGTGGGCAGGGCCAGTTGCTCAGCTGTGGTGCAGCAGGGCAGGTCTAGCTGAAGGGGAGGGGCTGGAATGGGTTGTTTGTGGCACATACTGGGGCCGACAAGGTGAGCTGGGGGTCAGTGCAGGGCAGGTTCCAGTAGGTCCTGCCTGTGCTGCTCGGGAGTGCAATGTTCAGCACATGGTGCAGATAAGCAGGAGGGAAGGGGCGGGGGAGGTTGTGATGTGTGGAGCTACGTTGGCTATGGGAAAGAAGAGAGAGACGAGAGAGAAACAGGAGCAAAAAAAAAAAAGTTCTGAGGGAGGCTGCCGTTATAGTGTAGAGATAAGAAGCCAAGAAATGAAGAAAAACAAAAATAAATAAATAATTTTTAAAAATTAAAAAAAAAAAAACGCCATTGGAATTCGGATTGGGATTGCATTGTATCTGTAGATAGCTTTGAGTAGAATTGACATTTTCACAACGTTGAGTCTTCCTGTCCATGAGCAAGGTATGTTTTTCCACGTATGCAGGTCTCTTTTGGTTTCTTGCAGTAGTGTCTTGTAGTTTTGACTGTATAGGTCTTTTATGTCTCTGGTTAGATTTATTCCTAAGAATTTTATCTTCTTGGGGGCTATTATAAATGGTATTGATTTGGTGATTTCCTCTT